TGACCAATTTGTTCTCTGTGAAAGCCTGAGAGAATGTTTTCTCTCCATGTGACTCTCTTTAGGCACACTCTACATCATCCATCACTTTCCTCTGTGGCCCCATAATCTCATTGATCAGAAAATTTGGGGCACAACTGAGTTACATGATGTTACAGTATAGGTTCTCCTAAGTCCTGACTCTTAACTGACCTTGAAAGGCTATGGTCAAAATGTTGGCTGTCCTTGCAGCCCTTCTGTTTCTAATTTTTGGTCTGCAAACTTAGCTTGTTAACCCTCCAGAAGAGAAACTTATTATTACCCTACATCTTATGCAGTTGGGTTTAACTTCACTATCTGTCTGAATATCAAACATCTTAGGCCTAACATGGAACAGGTATTTTCCATCAAGTGCTGATATGTTAAACATTAATTCCCTACAGAATATGGAGATAAAAATTTAAAAATGAAAAATGTCTAAAGAATATGAATAAACAATTACATATTTTAAACAGAAATTTAGAAATTAACCATATACAGCACTGTAGCAAGACAGTCCTGTGACATTTTTTTTCTTTTTCTCTTTTTTTCATTTATTACCCATAAAAAATAAAAACTTTTACTTGTAAGACAGTATGGTAATAATTGGGATGTCATGACAAGAAGTACGTATTTAGAAGACCAGAATGACAGGTATTCCAAGCATGACTCTTCTATTACACATTGCTATCTTTAGTGCAATTGCTTTTTTCACAGGTATCAGCATGTATAGTTAGTCAGGTTGAGAATCCTACCAATTAACTGCTAGTTTTAAAAAAATTACTGATGTTTCTCAGGATCATTGCCTTGCCCATCTTGTGCATATAAATGTGTGGCTTTGTCCCTGACCTGTTTCCCAGCTTTTCTTTTTGCCCTCTCATTGTCCAATCCTCAAGTTCTTGCTTTCCTTTTAATTGTGTTCTACCTTTCTATTTGTATTTCCTCTTTTGAGTTCTTGTACTAGGGAGACTATATGATATTTACACATGTGGGTCTAGTTTATTTCACTTATGAGTATATCTTCAAGTGGCATCTACTTAAATATAAATGCTTCAAGTTTATCATTCTTTATAGTTGAGTAATCTTCCATTGTATAAAAGTACATCTTTTTCAACCATTCCTCATGTGATGGATATCTTGTTTTTTTCCAAGATTTGGCTATCACAAATTGTGCTGCTATAAACATAGGTACACATATATCACTATGATACGATGTTTTCAGTTCATCTGGGAAAATTCCCAGTAGGGAGATTGCTGGCTTGAATGGGATTTCCAGTCCTAGTTTTCTAAGGAGTCTCCACACTGATTTCCATAATGGTTGCACCAGTCTACATTCCCACCAGCAGTGGAGAAGGATTCCCTTTTCCCCACAGCTTCTCCAACATTTGTTTTTGGTTAATTTGTTTATGATAGCCATTCTTTCTGGGGTGAGATGGTATCTCATTGTTTTAATTTGCATTTCACAGTAGCTAGTGATGTGGAACATTTTTTCATATATTTATTCACTTTAATTTCATCCTCTGAGAAGTGTGTGTTCATCTCGGATGCCCATTTCTGGATTGGGTCTTTAAATTTTTTTTAGTTCTTTTTTTTT